TTCGCCACAGCGCCCCCTGCTGGATACGCCCCCCAGCCAGCCCTCACCACAGCGCCCCCTGCTGGATACCCCCCCAGCCCTCACCACAGCCCCCCCTGCTGGAGGCCCCCACCCTCCCAACACTGCCAGAGGCAGCACTCCCAGGCTGGCTCAGCGCACATTGGCCGGCAAACCCTGAAAGCGGCTGGCAGGGAGGCCAGGGGCCAGTGCCTGGAGCTGGAACTCTGAAAGCGACGCCCCCGCCCCGCCTCCACCGCATCCTGCCAGCCCGGCTCAGCCGTCCACGTAATAAAACACAAACCACAGCCACTGAAAGGGGGAGGGGCTGGTTACCCCCAACTCCGCCGGCATTACAGCCCACGAGTCCCCCCCCCACCCACTCTGACCACTAGACCCCACTGCACCCCCAGAGCCAGGGAGAAAACCCAAGAGTCCTGGCTCCCAACCCCCTCCACACTCTAACACACTAGCCCCCATTCCCCTTTCCGAGCTGTGATCTGCTCCGCAGAAGGGGGGCTGCCTCGAGGGGGGTCCCTGGGGTCTGCGCTGCCCCTCCATAGTCACCTAGTCGGCTGGCACGGGCGAGGTGGGCGCTCAGGCTGCGGGTCACGCCCGGGCGCGGCCGGCGCTGCAGGAAGGAATAGACACTGCGCGAGGCGCCCCAGGGACGCACGCTCTTCCCCGCCAGGCCTGGGGGGCACGAGACATGGGGCGCAGGGGAGCCCAGCCCACAAGGAGAGAAAGATTGGGGGAGGGGAGCAGTCACACACCCAGGGGAGAGGATGTGGGGGTTGGGTTGGAGGGGCCATATAGATACGGGAGTAGATGGTAGAGTAGATTGGGGGAAATCATGCAGCCCAGAGGAGGGGGGGGGGGAGATGTGGGGTTGTCACACAGCCGGAGGGGGTTGGGGGGGAGAGGAGATCACACAGCCAGTGGGGTATGTGTGGAGGGGGGGGAAAGAGGTCACACAGCCGGTGGGGGGTGCATGGTAGTGGTGGTGGGGGGGAGAGGTCACACAGCCAGAGAGGGTGCGTGTGGAGGCGGGGGAGGTCACACAGCCGGTGGGGGGTGCGTGGTGGTGGAGGGAAGGGAGAGGTCACACAGCCAGAGGGGGGTGCATGGAGGGGGGAGGTCACACAGCCGGTGGAGGGTGCAGTGGTGGGGGGGGGCGGAGAGGTCACACAGACATGCGGGGGTGAGATCATACAGCCGGGGGGGGGGGAAGGTCACACAGTCGGTGGGGGGTGGAGTTGTGGGGGGGGTGGGTCACACAGCCGGAAGGGAGGAGGACAGGGAGGGGACAAAATTAACACAGACAAAAAAGAAAGAAAAAGAAAATGAAGAAACGAAAATACAACAGAACAGAAACAAAATCCGGGACCCCCTGCGTAGGGGGCGCAGACCAGCCAGGGGGGGACGTACCC